TCGATCATCGGTTGGACCCAAGTAACCGATGATCGGTTACTCGGGGTGTTGAATGCCTGCGTGTGCATGTACGTGTGTGCATGTATGTGATTGTTTAGCCCTGTTTACTGTTTGTTTTGCACTGTTTACTCCTGTGTGTATAATACATGACGTATGTTAATAAAGGATAACTTGTATAGTAGCGATGATATCTCTGATTCTCATCAAGTTTTCTTGTTCAAGTTTTACATTTATTTCGATTTTTTTTTTTTCTCGATGAAATCGATTATGGATTTTGATAACCAAGTGCTTGGTTCGAGCCACTGTTCAACCGATGATCGAGTATAATCGATGATCGTGACATCACTATTAAAGTATTATATATACAGGGGTAGAAATTAACTTTTGAACAAAGGAGTCCCTGCCCTCAAAAAGAGAGTCTGCAGTAAAACGAGGGAGTCCGCAGTCTGAAGTTCGAAACCTGTATGTCATATAAAGGATCACTAAAAAAAAGTCTAAAGAAACCAATGCCAAAATGCGCAGTTTATAGACAGGTGTCTGCTCTATTGAAGCGACTTCTAACACAGGGTTGACTGTAGTCTAACACTCCCTCGGCGAGACCAGTTAGTGTCTGAATGATTACTCCAAGCAATAACATACAGTACCCTACAGCAAGTAAAGTATTAGTATTACATTCCAGAAAAACATTTGTAATGTAAAAATCCGTAATGTCAGTCACATTTTCCCATTGATTTCCATGATCTAACTACAAGAGTTGTACCTACAGAATTTTTTTCAGCTAAAATTGGTAAATATATGCATTGATAATTATAATAGAAGAATTATAAAATAAAAGCAAACATTTTACACACATATATACTGATTATTTAATTATGTAACAAAGTATCATGGTAATAATTTGTAATCGAATATCAATTGCAGCTAACCCATTGATGAGCAATTATAATTAGATAATTGATTTATCAACAAAATGCCTGGCACACATTGCCGAACATTTTCCCGAACAAATATTTTTGTCTGGCAATGTGCGGGTGAACAATTGCTGAGCGCACATTGCCAAACATTTTGCAGCGAACAACCTCGTTGCGCCGTCTAGTAGCTGTGTTGTTAAGAGTCACGTAATCGGCGTGTGGCCAATAGGCGTGATAGGCATTTACAAATGTTCCTAGAATTGTTCGACATTCAGCGCACATTGACGAACATTCGACGAACAATGTTCGAGATATCAAACATTTCCGATCTTCAGAAACATTGTTCGGAACAAATGTTCGGCCACTTTTTTCACTGCACATTGCCAAACATTTCATGGAACATTGCTACGATAATGTTTTTGAGCAAAATGTTCGGCAATGTGCGCCGGGCTTAAGAGAGCTAGCTGTTGCTTCCATAGTTGTCTTGCATTCACATCGGCGTTCATGGCAGCCCGTTGCGGCTAGCTTTGTTTCTGTTTCAGCCAACCAGAGGCCTTGTTACAACCAGCGTAGGCTATTGTACATGCCAGTCTTTCTCCGGTAAAAACCTGAGAAAAACTCGCAAAGTTCTCGAATTTTCTCCGAAATTTTGGCGTTTTGACGAATAAAAAGCATCCTGATTAACACTATAGGAGTAATGCACATCGGTAAAAATGTAGGCACAGTGTATAGGCTCTAAACTACTCGAAAACATCCACTTTGTTTGAAAATTCAATGCCGCAGACGGTTTTATGGAGACTGCGATCCTTTCATGGTCACGCCTAGGATGACCTTTTGAGGACAACTCTTACAATTCGTTCTAAAAAAATCACGAACCATTTCGTCAAAATAATAATTGTTTTTGGAAGATTATGTATTTCATTTATGGATTGAAGTATTAGATGATGATTTTATATTTAGATGACATTTTGAGAACAACTTTTTATTTGTATTTTACAAGAAAGTTGTCCTTCCATTTTCAAATATTTTTACTGTAATTTTCCCTTTTGTTTTAATGGATTTCTATAGTTTTAATTGGCTGTCAATTAAACTCTTCAAAATACTATAAATATGATTGTAGTCAAGATATTTTGACAAATGTGCTGTCATTTTAAAGGTAATTCCAAGCACTATCCAGCCATGACATTTAAAACTATATTTAATCAAGTTGAAAAATTGTCCACGTGCCTACTTCAAGTACTTGGAGTTGGAGCGATAAAACAGGCGGGATCGGAGACATTCCACGTTTTGGATGGGCAAGTTGCTCTGACCAAAACCCACACCAAATCCACCAAAAATCGTCGGTGTGGGCGTTGGTCAGAGGAAACTCGGACTACCTGAAATTTAGGACACGGCCAGGTACACAGGCACTTGGAGCGTTTCAATAAAATATAAATATTAATGCTAAATAAATACGAAATCTATTTACTACCAAAGTCTTAAAGCTGCACAATGCGCATCCAAACGCTAATTTCTCCAGTACTAGACTAGCAAATACTTCGTGTCATGCATAATCACACTACCTTATGACAAAATAAACTCTAGTTCCTCCCATTTCACTGCGCGTTGTCTTATAAAAGGTATTTGAAAATACCTCCAATGTTGTTCAAATTCTCCGATATTGTTGACAGTTTCCCCAAGCAACCGTGCAGTGGTGCTGCGGTACAGCGGTACGGGTGTAGCAAAGATAAAAACATGTGACGTCACCCTAACCACTTCGAGGCTAAATTGTTTGGCAAATAAGCCGGCGTTAGTGCCAGAATGCCAGTTTTCTCACCTGTTTCTTGTGGATTTTAAGCAAACGCGCAGTGAAATGGGAGCAACTAGAGTTTATTTTGTCATAAGGTAGTGTGATTATGCATGCCACGAAGTGTTTGCTAGTCTAGTACTCGAAAAATTTGCGTTTGGATGCGCATAGTGCGGCTTTAATGTTTCTCTACTCTCTTTCACCTATTATTGCCGACAATTTTCTGTAAATGCCGTCCAAATGCTCATCTGCAACAAACGCTGGCTGCCGCTGCACACTGACACATAAATATATAGCAGGTAGGAAAGCGTGCTGCCAAAATTCGCTCAACGCTTGCTTCATTTCACACGAATACAACACAAATATTCAACCATTCTACTCCATCTTTGTTTCTATTTGAAGGACAGTGTTTACTTGTTATAAAAACATACTGTCTGTGTTCGTAACCAAGCTGTGTCACGCAAAATCACACAAAGCCTGACGAAATTCTCGAGTTATATATTTCTTATTCTTATATAATTCTCTGCTGTGTATATTGACGTTACGTCGTTAGTCACACAACAGGCCCTTGGAGGCTCAAGTTTCAAGAAGAGTATAAGAGCGAAGCGGTATCTGATCCGAAGGGTACCTGGTACAGATCTGAACATTAGTCGCCAGCCGGTCGATTATATCCACTAGACGCGTCATGAATTAGTTGAAGTCTAATCAGGTCGCGACGGACACGCGGACGGCTTAAATTAAAAAGGATGGGTTTTGGTAGAAGCGGGAGAGATGCCGGCATCCTCTAACGAGTATGCGCACACTGTTTCGACTGTGCTGTTCATCTAAATGAAACCGTACTTGCCACTGCTTACTCAACTGTTACGTCTACTGACTACGTTCGAGATATATCCCATTCTACAATTTGGATAGAGATTATATGATATCCGCTTCGCTCTTATACTCTTCTTGAAACTTGAGCCTCCAAGGGCCTGTGGTCACACAGCCTGGTCGAGCTAAGTACTCAGTAGCCACAAGTTCCCTTCTCGCTTAACACTACGTTAGTACATAGTCCTGTACCGTAGTATTTCGATGCTTGCCCGAAACTAGACGCTCCTAAGTGCGCATGCGTGCAGGCACCTCTTGTTTTGCAAGGGTGCATGCGCAGCATGCGCAGTAGTCATCTGCGCATCTCGCCCATCGAAAACGGTCGCAATAAACAAACATGCGGCCAACCCGGTCACTCATGGAAACATTTGATTGAAACAATTTGCAATGTGTAATACAAGGCGAAACAAAAAGAAAACAAACGAGCATGGCTACTATTTCCTACGGCCCTGCAAAACAAGATTCAAACAAAAAGAAAATAAGAGAAAAACAAAAGAGCATGCGCGCATGCGCACTTAGGAGCGTCCAGTTTCGGGCTAGCGTCCAAATACTTCAGTACAGTCCTACGCCGTGTAACACTACTAACATTAACAGTCGGAGAGCCTGGTCGGTTTTGGTACTCAGTAGGCCCTAGAGTAGAGGCTAGAGACAGTATCTAGAGTGTCAGTACTGATAGCCCGAGTTCATTAACTGCCTGCGGCCTGCGGCAGTTAATGAACGCGGGCTATAGCCTATACTATAGTACTACTACTAGAGCTATACTGACAGTAGACCAATAAATTGTGCCCTAAAAAATTTTATATTCTGATGTTATTTTATTTTTCAAGTTCAAGTTCAAGTTCA